CCCCGCTCGCCACGGAGAGCCGGGACACGCCGGGCCCGGCCGCCCCGGGGACGCACCGCCACGGGTTGTGCGCCCACGCCCAGGAAAGCATCCGAGCAGACACGCTGGAGGCACACGCATTCATCCAACCACCCATCTATCTATCCACATGGATATACACGTGTGTGTATACACGCACGCACACATATATATGCACACACGTATACACCCATATATACACACATATATGTGATAGAGATATTTATATATCTATATACACACACGTGTGTGTATGTATAGAGATAGATAGACAAATATATCTGAGTACACATAAATGTATCTAGGAGTCTCTCTCTCTCTCGACACCTATCTACATCTCCGAGTTATAAAGTCACTGCCGCTAGGTGTGAGGTCCTCGAGCCGCGCGGTGCCTAGGGCCGGGGAGTGCGGGCTGCGTGCGGCAGTCGCCGCTCCCTTCCCGAGCTCCACGTCTGAAGAGCGGAGACAGCAACATCCGCAAAACCTTAGGATCGCTGATCCCCCGTCCGAGCATCCTCAGAAACACTTAACGCGGTGGCATATTTTATTCCGCAGAACACCGCACTGCCGTGAGCTGCTGCCTAACGCCCCGGCCGGTGCAGGCGAAGGAAAACCTGTCCCTTGCACTTACGGCCAAGCCCAGGGAGAACCCCTGCCCCGGCGTCGAGCGGGAGTGAATGAGCCGACGTCTCCTGTCCTTTTGAGGAGGCCAAGCCCGGCTCTCGTGCACCTGTGGGGCGCCCGGCCGGGCTCGGGGCAGAGCCGCACAGTGTTGCCAAGTCCTTTCACCCCGTCAGTGCACTCGGGTGACACCGCCAGGCACGAGCCTCCTCCGGACTCCCGGCCGCCCAGGTGGCCTGGGTGGGGTCTGCCGGCAGCCTCCTACCTTTAGCTCGTGTATATAAATATATGTGTAGACACAGAGCTATCTCCAAGAGGGGGATTAATTAGCCTGGTTGGAGCCGAAAGAGGCTGCAGTGACGAGCCCAGTGGCGATTGGCCGCCCGCCTGCCTGGCCCTGCCTTTATAATTTCCACACGAGTGCATCTGGGCTCTTATACAAACCAACAGCCAGCTCCTCCTGACACACGCACGCACACACACACGCACGTACAGACACCCAGCACTTTTTCCACCACCTCATTCCCGCCCTACACACACACACACACACACACGCGCGCGCGCGCGCGCGTGCACGGGGACTGCGAGGGGAGCCGTGAATCAATAGGAAGCGGGTTTCGTGTTTGACTACTGGCAGCCGCGCTGCCTGCGCCCAACTTCAGCCTCCCGCGCCGCTCCCCATGCCGCGCGCTCCCTCCCGGGTGCAGTAAGGCGCGGGGCCCCGGCGGCGGCGGCGCTCGCTCCCTTCCAGCGCGGCGCTGCCCGTTTCTCCCCTGAAGTTGGCTCCAGCCCTAGCAGCCGCATTGGATCCCACAGCGTACTGCGAGACTCCGGTGTACAACCCGGATCTCTGCCCCAACATGATCGCGGCCCAGGCCAAGCTGGTGTACCACCTCAACAAATACTACAACGAGAAATGCCAAGCCAGGAAAGCTGCCATCGCCAAGACGATCCGCGAGGTCTGCAAAGTGGTGTCGGACGTGCTGAAGGAGGTGGAGGTGCAGGAGCCGCGCTTCATCAGCTCCTTGAACGAGATGGACAATCGCTACGAGGGCTTGGAGGTCATCTCCCCCACGGAGTTCGAGGTCGTGCTCTACCTCAACCAGATGGGGGTTTTCAACTTCGTGGACGACGGGTCGCTGCCGGGCTGCGCCGTGCTGAAGCTGAGCGACGGGCGCAAGAGGAGCATGTCCCTCTGGGTGGAGTTCATCACGGCGTCCGGCTACCTCTCGGCCCGCAAGATCCGCTCCCGCTTCCAGACGCTGGTGGCCCAAGCCGTGGATAAATGCAGCTACAGGGACGTGGTAAAGATGGTGGCGGACACCAGCGAAGTGAAACTGCGGATCAGAGACCGATACGTGGTGCAGATCACTCCGGCTTTTAAATGCACGGGGATCTGGCCGCGCAGTGCTGCCCACTGGCCGCTTCCCCACATCCCCTGGCCGGGACCCAACCGGGTAGCAGAGGTCAAGGCTGAAGGGTTCAACCTCTTATCGAAGGAGTGCCACTCGCTGGCCGGCAAGCAGAGCTCCGCCGAGAGCGACGCCTGGGTGCTGCAGTTCGCGGAAGCGGAGAACAGACTGCAGATGGGCGGCTGCAGAAAGAAATGCCTCTCTATCCTCAAAACCTTACGGGACCGTCATCTGGAGCTGCCGGGCCAGCCCCTGAATAATTATCACATGAAGACTCTGGTTTCATACGAGTGTGAAAAGCATCCCCGGGAATCGGACTGGGACGAGTCGTGCCTGGGGGATCGGCTCAACGGGATTTTACTGCAACTCATCTCCTGCCTGCAGTGCAGGAGGTGCCCGCACTACTTCTTGCCTAATTTAGACCTGTTTCAGGGCAAACCTCATTCCGCCCTGGAAAACGCAGCCAAACAGACGTGGCGACTGGCTAGGGAAATACTCACCAACCCGAAAAGTTTGGAAAAACTTTAGAGGGGAATTAAAATATGGGCCTAGCCAATTCCGTCTCCTCCTTTCCTGATGAAATCGAAGCTTCCTGTTCGAAAAGGCAAATACTTCCACTTGACAATGCAAGTACGATTCTTTTGCAAAGGAATATAGATCGCTTCGGCTCTCCGCCAAAAGCAAACACAGATCAGCGAGTGAGGACTCCCGTCTTCATCACCCTTTTGCAGCCCCTTCTCTTGAAAGCAAATGTCCGGTAACACCTGGGAAACGGATCGGCCGCAACTGAACACGATCGTGACCACTCTGCCCAGAAACGGCACCCCTGGATTATAACAAACCCTGGGCTTTTTTATGTCATCCCTCTGTGAGTAAACACTAGTCGGATCTGCCACCTGAACAAACTCTAATGTACCTTTTAATTTGTATCAGATATTGTGATCTCACATTGTCTTTGAAATTGTGGATGTTTGTGTTTTGTGATTTGGTGAACAGAAGTTAAATTGCCATTTTGGATACTTCAGGACATTTTCTGCTAAAGAAGATACCATTTAAAAAGGTAGATTTTATCACGGTACTTTTGTTAATTGTCTTTTGAAGTGTCTGAACTTAAAAGTTTACATTTTTCGTTTCATATATATTGCTTGTTCTATTTCTAACATTCCATAAATATACTTGAAATGTTATTTAAATATATTCAAAAGAAATTTGGATTCTGCTTATATAATAACGCTTGAATATTGGAATTATATATTTGAAAAAATGCACTTGAAATACACTGGATAATTACTTTTTGTGATTTAGATTTTAATTTCTGTTGCCGATTTTATTTAATTACAAGCTAATAAATGAAGTCAAATAAATATGGGTAAGCGTTTCAGTCCTGGATCAAGTTTTCCACTTAAAAATCAGGTCGCTGTTAAATTTTGCAAATCACACCCCTCTGCTAGACCTTACTTCTATCCAGAAATGTAAAACCTAAGGAGAGCCCGCACATTTCTCTTTTGAATAATTGGAGAGAGAGAAAAAAATGGTGTTACATACACACCGCAATTTAACTCCCGAAGAGCATCAGCAACTGTCAGACCTGATGTGGTAATTAACAGAGTAACACTCTTTACAGCCGTCAGAAAATAAATCCACTTTCGAAAGATTTACTGTGCTGGGTTAATTTTTCTGCACGGTTTTGAACAATACGGAGGGAACACAACATCACTAAAGCAAAGGCTGCTGAGTCCGATTCTTGACAAAAATCAGCATTGTGGCTCAACTAATAATAAAAAAGAAAGTAAAATGTTTAGGAGGAGGGGTTAAACCAGCACTAGTAAAGGAGAATATTACTTCTGATCTCCAAGTTGGCTATGGATGCGGTCAGGCAGCGGCTGCATTCAGACATCAGCCCGTGTTCAGAGCAGGGGGAATAAACATCTGCAGCACTAACAACAGTGCCAGTGGTACAAGTGCCTGCGCTTGCTCCAACACACAACTATTCAAAGCCTGCGCGTTTTTAAAGTACTCTGCAGATTAACGGTGCAAAATGCTAGAGACCAAGAACAATCCCCCACGCACTCTGTTTAGTCCCTTAATAGTCAACAAGTGCTGCAAGGGGAGATCCAATCTGCCTCTATAAGGTCCACTTGTAAGAACACCCAGCGGGTGAATTTTTGTGAAACCATTTAAAAGGCAACGAGGTTTTCAGTCCAGCGAACCAACTGACCGATGTCAGTAGAAATCCCCCTTCAGTAGAAGCACCACCGCTTTCAAAGGCTTTACCTGGTTTGGGTTGGTTTGGCAGAATTTAGGGATTATTTGCAGGGAAGGTTTTTGTAACCAAAATGACTTGAACGGCTTTTTCAATAAAAGGTCTCCTACGTTTCCCCTCTCCTTTCCTTGAGGAAACACTTAGAAGCTTGTCTCGAAAAAAATAAGGGAGAAGAAAGCAGCAGCATCCACAAGCCCGCAGCAGATGCTAACCAGAAAGCATAGAGAGGATGCCCAAGGTGTGCCCGAGTTGAGGAAAAACAGATCCCAGTGCTTTATGCTTAAAAGCAGCACGCCTCCCGTGCATCTAAGCCTCCTCTTCTCCACCAACTTTGCGCGGCTCCCTGAGGATGTCAAGGTGCTTTCGTAATATTAAAAAAGAGACACGAGCATCCAAGGTCGCACACGACCCGGCGCAGAGGCCGCAGGGACAGACATTTCCTGGTGCAGAAGGTGCCCGTGAACAGGGACACAGGAGCCAAGCGGGCACCAAACGGCCGGCCCGTAAAGGCAGGGTTTCCAGGAGCCCCGCTGCCAGGGGAAACCCTGCACCCGGCTCGGAAGAGACTGCAGCCGAGGCGCGCTGCTACCTCCGGGGATTTCAGAGCAATTGGCTTAACCGCTAAATCTGGCCGCGCTCGCACAAAGGCATTCAGGGGACATTGTTCAAAAGGCGCGCGCCGCGGCAATAGGGGATTTAGCGGCCCCGCACCGCCCCGCCCGGCTCGGCCTCCGCCGCGGCTCACCTTGGGGTCGATCTTCTTGAAGGCGGGCTCCTCCTCGTCCACCTCGAAGTAGATCTCCGTGGTGGTGATGGACAGCGTGCCTTTGGCCACGACCACGGGCGCGATGAGCTGGGCCGGCGTGCTGAGCACCACGGGGCCTGCAAGACAAGGGCAGGGCGTCAGGCTGGGCCCCGCGGCGGCTCCCTGGCCCTCCCTCCCTGCCCGGCCCGGCCCGGCCCGGGACAGCCGCGAGCGCCGGGCAGCGCACCCCGCACGGGGCCGCGTGCCATGCGATGCCCTGAGCCGGGCTCGCCGTGCTGTCGGGCC